TGAACCAGCCCTCTTTATCTTTAAAAATGGAGATAAGCACTCCCAGAGTTGCAATAATTGAGTGAAGTTTAAAACATGTTGGGCATGTGTTTTAGCATGCTGTAGGCCCTGGGTTGAAATACCAGCTTCCTCTCTAGTCTCTTTCCTCTCCTCTTCCTTTTTTCTTGATTTATTTATCTGTCCTTTATAACCCCTGCTTCCTGACTGCTTTGAGGCTTTCTAGTGACTTTTTGTTCCTGTAAATATTTCCCAAGGGCCATGAACCTAGGGATTTTTTTTTTTTAAGAATTATTTAATTTTATTTACTCTTTCATCCATTTTTATTTGGCCAGAGAGAGACACAGAGAACGAGAGAGAGAGAGAAAGTGAAAAAGCAAGCCACCAGGTCCGGGATTCAAACCATAGTTAGCCATGTGGGAGTATCCAGCATCTTAACCACCATGCTACCTGCTGGTCCCTTGGGATATTTTGGAGTCCCTATAAGGCTGGTTGCTGATTTTCCTTTTTTTTCCCCCACTCCCTCCCCAGCGGTACAGGAGGAGCGGCAGCGGGGAAAAGACAAGGACGGGGATGGCGAGGGGGCTGGGGGAGCCCCCGAGGAGATGCCTGTGGACAGGATCCTGGAGGCAGAACTTGCTGTGGAACAGAAGAGTGACCAGGGCGTTGAGAGTCCTGGGGGAACTGGGGGTGGCGGCAGCAGCGTGAGTGATGGGGCCAGTTCCTCTCCTTCCTGAGGGGGGCTGGGGGAGGGAGTCTAGGTCTGGTGTCTCTCCCCTCTCGCTCCCTTCCCCTTATAATCCTCCCACGCTGCCTGGGACTGGAAATGCTGCCAGACAAGGTCTCAAACATCTGAGGTGGGTGCGATAGCTCCCTCTGTCTCCACTCCCCACACAGCCCACTGGCAGAACCACGGGCAAGTCCCACATAAATCCTGGGGGCAGAGAGTCCTGATTTCCAGGAATTGCTTTAGATGGGCTTGAAGGAAGACTATATATAAGCAGGGTGTCAAAGCCTCTTATAAGGCGGGGGAGCTCCCAGTCTACCTCCAGATCTTCCATAACTTCCCTCCTGTCCCCTGCAGCCAAATGACCCTGTGACTAACATCTGTCAGGCGGCTGACAAACAGCTATTCACGCTTGTTGAGTGGGCGAAGAGGATCCCACACTTTTCTTCCTTACCTCTGGATGACCAGGTCATATTGCTAAGGGCAGGTCAGTGACCTTGGACCCCCTTGACCTCTTGACATTTGACCCCTCTTTGACTTGCTGATCTGTCCTGACCTCAGTGGTCTTACTTTGCATACGCAAGGCACCAGGCTTGCTAACCTCGGCACCTGTTTTCTTCTTCTCTTCCCCTAATGTGTTCTGGATCCATGACTTGATCTGTGGCTCCTGACTCTTGCTGCCCCACCCAGGCTGGAATGAGCTCCTCATTGCCTCTTTCTCCCACCGCTCCATCGACGTCCGAGACGGCATCCTCCTCGCCACAGGTCTTCACGTGCACCGCAACTCGGCCCATTCTGCAGGCGTGGGAGCCATCTTTGACCGGTCAGTGGCTCACGGCTGGGCTGGCCTCTAGGCAGAGGGGGTGGGGCTATAGACTGGTCCATGTCCAAGGCTGGCTGAGCTGTGACCTTTGAGTGACCTGCAGGTCCCTCTCCAGGGTGCTGACAGAGCTAGTGTCCAAAATGCGCGACATGAGGATGGACAAGACAGAGCTGGGCTGCCTGCGGGCAATCATTCTGTTTAATCCAGGTAAGAGCAGGATGATCCCTGCCTCTCAAACCAAGGCAGTCTTGGAGCCTCTTCTTCTCCAGAGACCCCTCAGTTACCCAGCTAGCCCCCTCAGTAAGAAATCGCCCAACTAAGGAAAAACGCACATGCATTGCTACATTCCCTTTCTGATCCCCCACCACAATCCCAGTGGGCCCTGCTTCCTCTGCCAGGCATCTGGTGAAAGGCGAGCAGGTGTGACCCTACAGGGGCACCCCGGGGGCCACGTCCACATGTCTGTCCTGGTTTGACTTTTCTTCTCTCTCTTCCTCCTCTCTCGCCTGCCATCCAGATGCCAAGGGCCTCTCCAACCCCAGCGAGGTGGAGGTCCTGCGGGAGAAGGTGTACGCGTCCCTGGAGACCTACTGCAAGCAGAAGTACCCCGAGCAGCAGGGACGGTGAGACGGCGCTGTGGGCCCGCGCTGCGCAGGGGTGTGGGCGCCGAGAGGGTGTGCCCAGGGCCTGTGTGCTTCGCGCTCAGTGCCCTTCTCCCCGCCACCGCAGGTTTGCCAAGCTGCTGCTGCGCCTTCCTGCGCTCCGCTCCATCGGCCTTAAATGTCTAGAGCATCTGTTTTTCTTCAAGCTCATCGGGGACACCCCCATTGACACCTTTCTTATGGAGATGCTTGAAGCTCCCCATCAGCTGGCCTGAGCCCAGACCCAAACACGGAGGAGCGCACATCCAAGAGGGACCCTGGGCCCTTTCTGGGCGGAGTGGGGGGGGCCACGTTCCCAGAACCTTGGTGGGGTGAGGAATACAGGACAGAACCAAGACCTCCAAGGGGGTCGAGAAACGCTCCGAGGGGTTGCTTGATATCCCAAGTCAGAGGGGACCCCAGGCCCCTGTGAGGAATGGACCTCTCCCTTCAGTGGCCTTGAGTCTCTGAATTTGTGGGGGTTTCCCATGACTGGGGTAGAGGGGGATTTCTTACCCCCTGCCTTCCCCCAGCACAAAGCACTGGTCCGGCTCCCAGGACCGGGTGTCCTTCTCATCCTGCCTCACTTTGCTCCCACATCTGAAGAGTGGAAACGGGGAGCTCCCCCCAAAGATGGATACTGGGGGCAGGCCCCCCGAACTGATGGCAGTCAGGCTCTGACAGGCCCTCCTTGCCCCAAAACTGGCAGATAAGGGCTTCTCCAGCAGGAGGAGGGGGGCTGTCACTATCTCCTGTCCATTTTACTCTTCACCCCCTTCTGCAGGCAGACTGGAAAATAAAAACGGTGGTGGTGGTGAAGGGCCTGGTGGAGATGCAGGAACCAGTCTGCTATTTTTAATTTCCTCTGAGGGTAGAGACTTGCAGTTAGACGCAAAGAAGTACTGTACTTTTCCAGGTTGACTAAGAAATGCCAGTGGCAGAGGTGGGTGTTTGGGAAAGGCAGGGCCCTGAGCTAGTCTGGCCTTGGGACTGAGCTCTGGCTTTCCCACCTCGCCCCATCTCCCGATCTCTTCCTGTCCCACTGGGGAGGGGCCTGGGCTGTGAGGACAGGGCCCTGCAGGGGACGGTTTGGCACGCGAGGCCTGGGCCTCCCCTTTCCCAGCCCCCTGTAGCCCTGTGAACACCAAATAGGCTGGAGACGGCAGCTGGCCTGAGAATTGAGGGGGGATGCTAGCTCGCAGAGACGGCTGCTGGGGCTGCATGATTTTTGCCCCGCATCTGTTCTTTGGAGTTCCTTTCCCCTTTTTCACTCCTACATAAAATCGCTTTCAAATTAAAATCTGTTTTCTGGACTGAGGTGACTGGGGCGGGCAGCGCCGGGTGAGCTGGGTGCGGGGTATCCGGTTGGGAGTTCTGGATGTGCCGGCGAGGTTCCCTGGGGCCCAGAGGCTGGCGCGGGGTGGGGGACACAAGGCGCGCTTTGTCGGGGAGGGGGGGCGGGGGTGT